CAAAAATGACTTCATCTGGTTCCCCTTTCATCTCTCAGGCCACTCCTTCTTTTATCTAGTTTTTACATGTTGGAATTACACAAAGCTGGACTCTAGACCTTCTTTGAACTCTATACCTATGCTGTTCAATATGGCAGCCACTAGCTCATGGGACTATTTAATAAACTCAAGAAAATAAAATTATATATTCAGTTCCTCAGTTGCACTAGGCATTTCAAGTGCTCAATAGCCACAAGTGGCTCATGGTTATTATACAGGACAGCATTAATATAGAATATTCCCACCACTGCAGAAAGTTCTATTGTACAGTGCTGCTCTATACCATCCCCCTGAGTGATCTTACTCATGTCCATGGTGTCAGTTATCTGTTTGCAGAAGACTCACATATTTGTACTCTGTCATACAAACTTCTCCTTCAAGCCCAAGACCCATGTAGCCAGTTTCTTAACTTTTCCATTTGGATGTCTCAAAAGCACCTCAAGCCCAGTATGCTCTAGACCAAATTTCTCATATTCATCTCCAAACCTAGTTTTGGAATGTTCTTTCTCTCACCAATGTTACCATCATCTAACCCCAGGTAAACAAGTTAGAAAATTCATCCTTTATTCTCCTTCATTCCTTCAATCCATTTCCAAGTCCTTTGAGTTACCTCTGAAGCATCTCTCAAATTTTTCCCTTTCCTCATCTCCCGTGTATCCCCCACAATGCAGAGTTTGATTAGTGGAGCAATCTCCCTGAATTCAAATCCTGATTTGGGCTGAGTGACCTTGGAGAAGTTAATCTTTTTTCCTTGACCAAGTTTTTCATCTGTAAAACGGGGGTAATGCTATGATTTTCTTCATGGTGTTGTTGTAAGACTTAAATAAGATTATGAATGCAGAGTTTAGCACCAAATCCAGGACATAAATTCCATATAAATGTTAGCTACTAGTTATTCCATATAAATGTTAGCTACTAGCTATTATCCCAAGGCTAGATTACTGAAATTGTATCCTGTCTTTCTTATTCTTGCTCCTCTCCAATCTTCTGCCCACAATATAACTAGAGAGACTTTTAGTGAAGTTAAATCTGATCATGTCCCCCTCTATCTCCCTGAAAACCCATTAATGGTTGTATAAGAAGCTTTTAGAATAGATAGATTCATCTCCTATCTCTCTGGTCCCTTGAGCTCTATGCTTTAACCAAACTGGCTGCAAGCTCCTTAGCCAGGCCATGTTCAGTCCATGAGGGCTTTTATTCACAATATTACCCTTTTTTGAACTGCCCCCTCCTCCCCGCCCTGGAAGTTATCACCCTTCAGACCTCAGCTGAAAAGTCATTTCCTCCCTCACTAAGTCTGGTCCCTCTATTTTGCATTCTCATTGTACCATGTTCCAGTCTGTCCTAGAACTTCTCAGTTTTTAACTACCCATTTATATGAGTGACTACTATTTATTACTACACATGTATTTGTTTCCTCCAACAGACATCTCAGACTGAGTTCCTGATATGCCTCCTACCCAAGCCTGCTCCATTCAGCATCTTCTCCACCTCAGAAAATAGCAACACTATTCTTTCAGTTACTCAAGCCAAAACCCTTGGATTCTCTTTTACACTCCACAACTATCAGAAAATTCTATTGCCTCCCTAGAGTTCAACCATTTCTCCCCTCGCTCCCTGGCCCCTTTTCACTGCTACCCATCCTGGTCAAAGCCATATCATCGCTTCCTGGATTGCTGAGTTGCCTCTTGACACATCTCTTTGTTTCTTTCTTTAGCCCCACCATTTAGATTCTTGTGTATTTACAAGGCAGTTAGATTGATGCTTTAAATATCTGTCAAATCATGTCTTTCCTCTACTCACTCTCTTAATAACTTGCCATCTGCTAAGGAGTTAAGTGATCTTGCCACCCAAATCCATATGTGGAAGTCCTAACTTTTCCATGTGACTACATTGGAGATAGTGCCTTTTGGAGAATAAGATTAAATGAGGTCATAAAGGTGGAGCACTGACCCGACACAACTGGTTCCCTTATAAGAAGAGACACCAGATTTCTCTCTCCACCATGTGAGGACACAGTGATAAGACAGCTGCCTGCCTGCCAGGAAGAAAGCCCTTACCAGAAGCTGACCATGCTCGCGCCCTGCTTAAGACTTTTCAGCTTCCAGAACTGTAAGGAAATACATTTCTATTATTTAAACAACTCAGTCTATGGTATTATGTTAGGACAGTCCAAACTAATATACCATCTCACTCAAATTAAAAACCAAAGTCCTTTCAAAAGCCAAAGGGATCCATTCTGGTCTCTTATGCCCCCGATCCCTAAACTCTTACATAATTTCCCTTGATTCTCCTCATCCCTTAAGCAGGCCTATAGGCCCCACTGGCCTATATGCAATTCCAAGAACAAGTCAGGTATGCTCTCTCACCTTGCAGTTTTTGTTTTTCTTCTGCTTGGAACACTATTCTCCCAAATATACTATCTCTCACTACCTCACTCAAATGTCACCTTCTCAGTTTCCATGACAAATTTTGCCACCTCCATCTCACACACATATCCCATTCTCCTCCCTTCGCGTGCACCAGCAACGCTATCTATTGTATCCATTTAACTTTACTGCCTCTCTCTCCCCAGCTAGACTGTGATTTCCATGAGGGAAGCGACTGTCTGCTTTGCTCATTGCCATATCCCCAAAATACAGAGCACCTCATGGTAAGTGCTTACCGTTTGTTCAGCTCAATGAATGCTGAATTTCAACAGCTACCAAATTAGCTACAGTACCACACAGATCAGCTACTGAGGCAGCAATGCCCCAGTAGCAACTGTACTGCCTAAAGGGCCACCTGATTTTTCTGGCCTCTCCTGGTTTTCTCCTATCACTAAAGCTGAAGAGGAACTTTAAAAACCGTGGCTACATGATCGGAGCGTGATTCCTTCCTCTCTCCATTTTTACAACAGAAATAATAAATTTAGACGAAAAGTTGCCAAGGTCGACTAAGATCATGGGTATCACAATTTCTTGAAAATTGTCTGGTTGCAACTTTCTTCACAGCATTTCCAAATAATTCTGCGAACTCTAGGGCTCTTGGGTCATACTTCCAGGGTTCAACCAAGGAGGGTGCTTATCCCCAGAAATAAAATTTTAAAATACATAAATACAAATAAATAAAAGACGAGTGAGTGATGGAAGAAACAGTTCGTTGTCGTTATCTGCTTTTATGTGGAGCTGTGGGTAGAATTTAGTTTAAAAATAGATTCTGCTGCTGGGCGCCTGGGTGGCTCAGTTGGTTAAGCGACTGCCTTCGGCTCGGGTCGTGATCCCGGGGTCCTGGGATCGAGTCCCACATCGGGCTCCCGGCTCAGCGGGGAGCCTGCTTCTCCCTCTGACCCTCTCCTCTCTCATGCTGTTTCTCGCTCGCTCGCTCTCTAATAAATAAAGAAATAAAATCTTTAAAAAAAAAAAAAAGAAAAATAGATTCTGCTGCTAAGAAAGTTGCAAAATCACTATATCCCCCTACATTTCACAGAAGAGAAAACAGGCCTGCAGAGGAGAGGAGGAAAACAGGAATTCTTCACAACCTAAACCACGCCGAAAGTTCCCGGTTAGTGCTCCACAGTTAGTCATGGCTCTACGGTTAGTTACTGCTGTGTATTCGCTTCTGACCTGAGCTTCCCATCATTTTTGGAAATGCCTCAAGCTAAGAATCGTCTTGAAACGATACGGTATCACAACTTAGCTCCCTTCTCACCTTCAAACATCACAGCTTTTAAAATACAGGTGTCATCGAAGTGTGGACACACCCACTGCATCTCCACGGGAGTGTTTCTGGTTATGCAAATCTAACGCGGCCAGGCGGGGAGTCGACCGCTTCAAAGGCGGCTCAGAGGAAATCCTGCCTCCCCCTAGGCTCAGGCCTGGAGTAAGGGCGGGCAGTCGCGGCCGGCCGGAGCCGCGAGCCGACCTCGCCTGGGGGCGCACCTCGCCGGCAACTCCGGAAGCACCTGCGGGCCCGACGGGAAAATCCCCGGCATCACCCACCGGAGCGGGGGGCGACCGGCAGCTTTAGCACCGCCTCGGGTACCACACGCCTGAGGTGAAGCGGCCCTGTAGCCCTGCAGCATCTCGCGAGATCTCGCCGGCTCAGCCCAAGTACTGCGAGCTCAGAACTTAAAAAAAAAAAAAATTAAAAAAAAAAGGAAAAAGAGAAGAGAGAGAGAGAGAGCTCCTGAAGCCTCCGCGGTGGTGGCAACTGCCGCGGGCGCATCAGCAGTCGGCGTGCGCCGAGGCAGGACTCCGGCACCCGTTCGCCCGCCGGGCTGGGCGCCGTCCGCAACGGGCTCTGCCGAGGCCTGGGCCGCCGGCCCACTGACGTGCAGCCCCAGGGGCGGGGAGAGAGGGAGGCGGCCGGGGGGCCCTCTCCTCTTCGCCGCAAAGGGGGCGGGGGAAGGAGGTGGAGGGGTGGGAGGAGGGCGACGGAAGAGGAGGTAGCGGCGCGGAGATCCCGGCGACGGCGGTGAGGCGGAACGGCGCCGCGCCTGCTCCCTGATCGCGCTGCTCGTGCTGCTCGCGCTGCCCGAGGCCCGGCGCGGACTGGACGGACGCGATCCTCGCGCAGGCAGCTCTAGCGTGGGGTCTGGCAGAAGCCCGGGAGGGCCGGCCCGCCGAGGGAGCGTCTGCCGCGCGACACTGCGGGACCGCGGGTGGGCGGGCTGAGGGGCGGAGGAGCCGCCGACCCCGCCTCCCGCGTGCTGCTGCCGGAGCCGCCACCGCTGCGGCCCCGCGGAGGC